CTCCGTGAACAAGAAATATCAGATTATAAAAAAAAAACAATTGACAGAGGAAAGCCAAAAAACACACATGAGAAGGAAATTATAAATTTACACTGGAGTTAAACCATCTTCCCCAACAGAATTTTTAATCTCCATCTTCTAATGTAATTCTAGTCGCTTTCCAGTGAAATTGTCAAAAAAGAGGCATATTTCTGTAGAGAATGTCATCATTTTCGCGTAAAAATGATGGTCGACCATCGAATTTGCACGCTACAACACAGTATCAATAAAAGGTATAACGATAACCAATAGCTTTAAAGAGGGAGGGTCGTCACCTGCGCACGCCCTGGAATTGAATCTCAAGCGACGATAACAACACACGCCAAAAACGCAAAGGCTCATGGGTAGACGCTTGTTTGTAAACAATGACACGCTATGGCCATCTAACGCATGCGCATGTGACGACTCCCCCGCTTTAACATTCTTGAAGCCGTCTTCGTTCACATATACCACACTTCGACCGCAGAACACATAGTAGGCGTTAGGCAATACATACCTTTTTAGCCGGCTCTATCTTGACCGACGTGGTTTCTTTATATGACGCCCAGCACCACTCCACCAACATTATAATGAAACCGAACCCAAAACCGGCAAACATAAAATAAAACACACCCGCCATGTTGTTAATACTCATTTGGCTGCCGGCTTTCTCTGTGCTAGTTTTCTTATCTGAAAAAGGAAATATATACTTTTATCTACTTCCAAAATGTTACAGTTCACAATCATTGAATTGGGCGATAAAACAATAACTGATAAAATAATCTACAGAGGCAACACGGAATTTGAACACTAAGATATAAACATTTATACGAATATCATGGTAAACATGAAGTGGTGTCAGGTGATTTTAAAACAAGTGAGATTATCCTGCTTCTCAAGTGCTCATTCTGATTCATAATCAAATGGTTAATATCATAATTCCTTGGTTTATATCAGACAAGTAACATTGATGACATCATTATCTGTGAACATCATTACCATATTAAACTGTAATATCTGCTAAAAACAAACCATTGAATGATGTTAACCATGGTTAATATCATTTTTACTACAGAAGAGAACGTTTCTTTAAAACATCGACATAAGCACTACGTGTCCTGGGCTGGTGTATAAGTTGTAAACCCCTAAGGCAGGAGGGAGTGAAATATTGCTGTGGAGATGTGTGAAATTGAAATCATCTCTTTTCTCATAAAATCTAGTAAAACACCAAATTTCAAAGCACAGTCCTAAATATGAAGCAGAAATAGCAAATCTCCCATTCATCCAAGGTTTATTATATATTTGGAATCTAATCACTAAATTAATATAGAAATTACATCATCAAAATACTCTTACGAATGAAGAAAGAGATCAGTCAGCAAGTGCGCAGAGTTTGTTGCCAGCTCCTCCAAACTTGACAAACAAATTAGTTGGCAATTATAAATGTTAGCACACTAATAATGTCTTCGAAATGAGTTGCATCATAATTACTTCCCTTGATAGTTGACAAAGTAGAGGTTAAAAAAATCAGCTCTTTAGTTAGGAGATTCAGATGACCCAGCAATCATTCAAGCTTTGTATGCAGTCTGGGTACCAAGTCATTTGTTACCTCCTTGATAGAAATTTGTATACAAGTCTTGAATGACTTGTGAATCATTAGCATTATTTAATTAATATAAATACCGTTCATCTAAGTTATCAGTAGTATTATTTTGTTCTCGATAGTTTGGATTTAGTAGCGCAATAATCAGTAAAACTTTTCTCCAAATATATATATATATATATATATCTTATCATTTATCATCACGCGCAGAAACCGGCATAATACAGTAATGAAATACTGTCAACTATAAAAACGCACGTGAAGAAAAAGTATAATATAGTTTCTAGATAACTCACCTTTGTCACAGATTCCCGTGAAATAATTATTCGAGAGTTGCTCTATGTATCCACTTTGCCGTAGCTTTAAAATTTCTAAACTAAAAATGTCTGTGAGCTGTGAGTGAAGCGGCAAACCAAGTCCATAACCCATTTTGCCAAATAGTCTGCCAACGGTCTGTACGTCACATGGCTCCTTATTCGCCGCGTACTCCAATATAGCCGAATCCCAAATGAATGCGTAATTGCCTTCTTTCACTTTTTTTATCCCCTCCGTCGTGTTGTCCACGTTTATCATGGAGTTTGAGATTTTTTTGTAAGGCTCTACGCCGGCTTGTTCAAAGTACGATTCCGGTTGACTGTTATGCACAGTCCCGTATGGGATGCTGCTTTGTTTTGCCAAGTCATCCACGGAACTAATTCCTGTAATGTATAAATGTATATGCCTTAGAACCTGTGTGATTCTAGTTTCACAGTGCACGGAAATATGTACTGTGCTACGATATATACACATTTACTCTCATGAACGTAACGCACACTGGATGTATCTGTGATGATTTATTTTGTGAAAAACTGAATATGAGAATAGTGCCATGCGAGACGGTGCCGCTGTCAACTGGCTCCGCTTTATATTATTATGTCTAAAAATTACTGCCGATTAACCCCTTGTATTATAATAATTAGTTTAAATATATGTAGTCGCAGGTACAGGGTTGCGTGCTGGTATAAAACAAAACAATTTCATTTGTCATTAATAGGACTGACAACTTGAAATCACATCACAGTTATTAATCATATCAACAGACGTGTTTATGATTTATGATCTTACAGTCAGGTAATAGAAGATTTCAGTAAATGTCTACTAATATTGAAAATAAATAAATGGAACTTCAAAAGTATCCTATTTACGTTCAAAAGTATACTGGTAATATCTTACAGTTAGGTAATATAAGATTTCAGTAAATGGCTACTTATATTAATAATAAATAAATGGAAGTTCAAACGTATCCTATTTACATTCAAAGCTGTAATAAACTACAGTTGGTTGATAGCACTTTACATTGAATTTCTTAGAACATTCCTATTTTTTAACGAAGTTAAAAAGCATTATATTTTTGCTTTCTAAAACCTCGTAATATCGCAAGTTTAAGAATCTTAGAAAGGGTATTGGGAACAGAGAAGAGTTTAAAATGTGATTTCTCATCCGGGAGGAACATCAAGGATTTACTGAACCTGATCGTACAGGTATATTCCTGGTGTCGTTCAGGTTGACTGACATGTTCATATTTTATGGGGCTAAGTTTATGACCAGAAATAAAAATAATCTTGGGCTAAAGCTCAAAAAAATTACAGTTGTACCAAATATGTCAAAACTCAAGATTGTTCTAGCTAGCTCATCGATATACTTCAAATAAAATAATCAGATATGTTTTTCATGCATAGTTTATCTGTAGAAATTGGGGAAACATTTATCATTCACCATTTTTCATGAAATTACACACTCATTAGTATTCTAATTTGCATATTCAGATAATTACCACTGGTAATATGGATGCAGACTGCATCAATGTATGTGCCTATCATATTTCATCCAAATATATTGAATTGAGATAATCCATATTCAGTAATGTGTAAATGAGGCAATTTACATATGCAAATTATCCCTAATAGCAGGGGCATATACTAGTAAATGATATCAATGTATATCCCCACTAAATTTAGTTCAAATCTGTTGAGCTGTTGATGAGTGAATCCAAACTTAGTGAAAAAATGCAAATTGTCTAATTTACATATGTAAATTAACGAATAGTAATATTTAGGTGTAAAACGACTGCATTTCAAGTGTGGTGAGCAGCAGTAACATGAATTACATATGCTAGCAGACAGTACGTATGCAGTACCACCTAACTTTCTGTTCATTGGAACATGGGCGCCTTTTGAACGTAAGGACCCTTTGAACTCCTAACAGTCGTCGCTCAGTGCATTACAGTGGTCACGCGGTGAACCTTCGAATTTCATGCAAACAAATAATGTATTTTACACACTTTGTTGTCGTCGCATGGGACCCATACCAGTGTCTTATCTGACGACGTGTCTATCCAGCCCATGTGGATTGAATTGAATTTAGATTTATCAAAATCGATCCATCGCGGCAAAAAAGTAGATTTCATAATTTCTATTAATTAATGAATATACCTGGTACATGTCATATTTTAAAGGGCGTTTGTCGTCACGCCGCGCCCTGTTCGATATGGGACTCGACGTATACAACGCGTGTAAAATACATTGTTTATTTACATGAAATTCGAACACGCGCTGCGCGACGACCACCGCGCTCTAAACGTGTGCTTACCGGTACTCATTCTAGCAACAGTGAGAAAAGCAGCTAGGTTGGCTGTGTAGTTTGCTGTGATGATAATGACTGCCATCCACCAAAATCCACCAACTATTCTACCAGATATCGACCTTGGATTGAAATCAGCTCCCTGGTGAAACACCGATAAATGATTAGTATTCTGGCATGTCAGAATGTAAATATATTGTTATTCAAATAAGTATCGTGTCAGATTTCTAATCTATTGTTAATTCGGATATGTACATTTCATATAATTTTGAATACATTTTAGTCTAATAATAATATGCGTTGAAAATGAATGGTTATTCCAATAAGCACAATACAATATTTTGTTATTCTTATGTCGTTGCGAATATGCTGAATATCCGAATTCCTATGAAACACGGAACCGTAATCGCGTAACTGGAAAATTAGTATTAAAATCATTATAAAAAAGTATGTGTTCCAGTATTAAAAACATATGTTTTTGCCCATATCACCTCTTAAAATTGCATTTCTATAAAGGACTGCAATTTAATTGAGTCGAATTAAATTACATTTAAAATGCCTTTCTAGAAAGGATTGTGATTTAATCTAAGTTTAATTAAATTGTATTTGGAATGCATTCTTATACAGGATTGCAATGCAATTGAGTTGAATTAAATTGTATTTTAATGGCATTCCTGTATAGTTCCACCATCGATTCTGATTCTGGTTCCGGTTCTGCGTTTTATAGAAAACCCTATTTCCAGCGAAATAACCACGCACTCACTTACTTGTTGCATCCAGGAAGCGAATGAAAACCACAGAGCGTTATAAAGATTCATAGAATTTCGTGCATCGTACGTAGAGGTATCACTTGAATCGGGACGCTGGACGTATGCACCATAATAGCCATAGGGACTGAGATAACTGCAGACTGAAACACACATGCCGGCAAACAACATGGCAAGCAGAATAGCCATCCACAAATCATAGCTGAATGGGTCGAGAAATGCAAACAGGCTGCGTTCTGGCTCCTTGACTTTCATTAGAATGGTCAGTCCGAGGTCCAAGTATGGTTTGGTGAATGCGATGTACTGTTGCCTTTCGTAACTTATTGTGAACGGTGCCACTGCCACATCGGCTTTCTGTGAACGAAAAATAAAAGTTGTTTAAAGTCCCATATGACCTATGCAACGCGTGTAATGCATTCTCCAAGTATCGACTGAACCACGCCATCAACGGCAGAAATTAGTCGAGGCTTGGAGGATGGCTTGTTAGACCACGGAAAATACAACCATGACAGTTTACTGATAGTCGATAGAAAAGAATTTTATTTTTGTTACGTCGATTGGTACACCCAGGAGCACAATATCACGCGTGCAAGTTTACGTTACACCCCAATTTCGCATGCGCGCGCATGCGAAAAGGCGGTTCTTCGACTTCCGGGAAAGTCGTCTGTGCATACTGTTTTCAAGCGCGGCAGTCGTGCGCATGTGCGACATTTGTATTGACAAACTATTCCCACAGTCCAATGCGCTCTTTTAATGGAAATCACAAGTATGAGGTTTTGCCTGGGCGCGTCTTGCACTGAATACCGCCGGTGACTCCTTCGATACCTTCCAACCACCTAACAACTACCTAATTAAAGTTTCGTAACGCCTCAGTGTGTACTCGTTGATCTGTGCAACAGTCAAAGTCGCCATCTCTGTTTATGTGAGAACCATATATCTCGCGCACTAGTGGCGCGACGCGTTTGAGGCCAAATCACGCGCGGGTTTATGATTGATTCAGTGTAAACAGTTACGTTTAGTAAATGACATAGAGATTTCGTCATCATTTTTTGAATCTGGATTATAACCACGAAAATGCATCTATACCATAGTTTTGTGATACACAAACACTGAGAGACACTTACTCCCTGGATGAGCTGACCAACCATGCCATTCCATCTAACCCTGTCTGAGTCCTCGTCTTTTGCGCCATACTGGCCATCGGGAACAAGGGTCATCTCGTATTTGAAATCTAAACTACTCTGCAATTTGTCCAATAAATCTTTGCAAAAGCCTTTATATCTATCGTTGCCCTTTTTTGTAGGATCGTCAGACATCATAACAAACGGCTCATCCTATAAGCAAAGAAATCAAACCAAGCTTGCATATTACTATGGAGTATACAGTGTGGTTTTCCAATGTCTGATCAGTGTAACCCCTTTGTATCACTATGGTAACGTTGTTGTTTATCAAAACTTTGAACGCCGAAGTAAACTTTTGCCATCTTTCGCGAAAAAAAAACAAAAAAAAACGAAACAAAAAAAAAACGCGTAAATATTTTAATATTTTTTCTCCAAGAAATATTGACCTGTCGCTTTAAATATCAAGTTCATCTGGTCCAAAACTAAAATACTAGTACCTTATAGAAAAATTCATGATTAAAACGTGGGGAAAATCCCTCAACATTTAGGGGTGAAAACTCGTGGCGTTCAGTATTTTAATATGTAAAATATGAAAGAATTCTACGTTGCTAATCCTCGTTGTCTTAAAGCAGGGGGGGGTCGTCACCTGCGCACGCGCGAGTCTCATGCGACGATAACAACACACGCTAAAAACGCAAAGGCTCATGGGTTGACGCTTGTTTATAAACAATGACACGCTATGGCCACCTGACGCATGCGCAGTCGACGACTCCCCCGCTTTAACACATGTTTGTTGTACAATGTTTCACCCTAAAACACGAGATTCCTCTGGAACAATCTAACAAATAACTAAATTGAAGTAAAAATTGTAAAATTGGAATAGTTCATAGAAAAGAATATAGAATAAAGTCAAATAATGTACCAAAAGCAAATACGTTTGTAGATAGAAATAGCATTCTGGGTAAAATTCTTTTGCATAGAGTCAAGAGGCAATGGAACACGTAGAAGCGTAAAATTACAAGATTTAAACCGCGTTCTGTGTCCTCAGTCAACGACCTATTCTACGTGAAATACATATATAGATGACCAGCTACCTGAAGGAAAAGTCGACTTACCAATATGGTAGTGATTTTCAAAGTATAGTTACTGAGATCAAGATTACTATCAGTCGGAACTGTTCGGGTATTTCCAGGGAAGAACACACGTGTCGATATCTCCATGTCACCTTCGCCATACCATCCGCCCACCTGCAATTACGAAAATCGTTCCACCACGTGATTACATATATTAAGTTACCGTAGATTACGTAATAAAATGAAGTGGCGGTAAACGCGGTGCGTCGTTTGATATACATTTTTTTGTGTTTACATGAAATTCGAACGACTACTATAAATACAGAGAATTATCACAGACTTACTTTTTCAAAACCACGGTTTCTCAAATTCACGATATCATAGTGAGCCACATCGGGCGCGTTGAAGTCTGTGAAATTGACATAATTCATTGTGCCATTGCATTGCACCTGTAATTAGAACATGCCGTATATATTACTCCTTCGTGCGATGTACATACACCCAGGCTTCGGTCATTGCGTATTAGTTTCGCAAACTAGCAGGACCTAACTTGTACACTGCATAGTACTGTAACACTTGTGTATACTTATTTTAAACGTCCCTCTTGTTTGTTGTTGTGTCATCTATTAACCCTATTATTATTATTATTAACTCGCAACCAGCATGGTTTGACTTTAATCACTCAGGCTGTATAATGTCTCCAGTTGTGACGCTAACACTGATTGGCTATTCGCACTGCCAATCACGTGGCCGATTTTTCGTAATATTAACACGTACTATTTACTACTGAAAAATACTAAATCTATAATATCTACTCAAAACACGACAGAAGGACTTACTTTTCGTATATATTGCTTTAGTTTTTCTCCATCTCGCCATTTCTCGATGTCTCTCTTCGAACACGTTCTAGCTGGATAAGCGGGTATGCTAAGATTGTGTCCGTCTGTCAGGTAGTTATGCAGAGCATGTCCTATAGCAATTACTGAGTCGTACGTTCGCAATACGGACGCCATCTGTTTTAGAAAATATGGTGGCTTAGAAGAAAAAATATTCGAGAAACAGATTAAGTATGACAAACACTTTAATTCAGCTGAAATCTCGAGTCGGAGGTCATGACCTTGAAAGGAGACTTCCTTCTACAGTTACGACTAGTGCATTATATTATTTACATATCATTGGGCCCATATCTCTCCGGGAAATAAATACCTAACAAAACAGTGGATATGAATAAACAGTGCATAAACGGTAATACCGATATTAAATTCAAACAAACAATTGTTACTATAAACAATGACAAGCGTTATTTACAGGTGCATTATGGGTACCTTTGAGTTTATGTTGTTGCAGCACACATAACAGTATACATTTAGTGAAATAACAATGCAACTGCGCATGCGCTTTTAATTAGTTATGCAATGCGCAAGTATAGTATATTTCAATCATATTGACATTGCCCTTTTTAAATTAATTTTATGTCCACCGCTTTGGATCATGCTGTAAAAACCCATGTTTACAATGCGATATATTTTGGGGCACAGACAAAACTGACGCCTCCTACGCGCCTTGACGTGACAGAAGACAACTTTAACATATAAGAACATACATAAGTAATAAAACATTGCACGCACGGCAAACGATCGATGGCCACACATATCTGCGGAAGAGTTTGGGTGAGAGGAAGGATACGATGATGAACACTGAGAATAGAGTTGCGCCCTCATAGTCCGCGTGGACACTTCTCGCTGCTATTAATGTGGCGCTGCTTGACCTGGTTGAAGTCATTGTCACTAGATGTGCTAAACATGTTGCATTCACCCCTGACCACATGCAACTTTATTTTCGCTGAATTTGAAAAATCAGTGAATATTATAGTGTAGTGCTATATTGTTATTAGCCAAACCTTGCGGTGAAGTGTTCCAGTAACTGTGCTAGTCAGGAAACGTTTTCTAGGAATACGTGCCTGGGGGTAAACAGATTGGATACTGACTGAAACGTACAACGATATAATTCATGAGTGAATACAGTTCGATTTAGTCTAAATTAGTTTGCCAATTTCATTCGTAGATAAGGAAAACCCAAACGACAGGGACTAGCGCGAAGGAAAGGGACAGGAAGGTGCAACTGGAGTAAATATATTACACACCGACATGGCAATATACAGCAACGTGTAATTTGCATACATTAAACGTGTTATACATACCAACCGGTTTAAACCTGTTTACATATATGTGTGTATGTCACTTACAGTAGGACGAACAGACAGACATACATTAGTAAGAGAGTCAGAGCAGAATGCTGCTGAATGAATGGCCAACTTTAACTCGCTTGGTGTGATGACGACAGAGGAAGTGACGTAATATCTCAAACAAGAAATTATGAGGAAGTAACGTAACGTAAACAGAAATCACCAGAAAATCGTCGGGAAGGCTAAATACATGCGTGATGCATGCAATTGAACTTAACTGAAATAACTGAAAATACAAACAAGTGTTTCACCTCAGGGAATGTACTCCCGCCATCACCAAAAATGGAGTTATAATATGATTAAAATAGGATTATGACATGCATGAATTAGGTATGCAGATCAGAAAGAGAGAAAATGAATGAATGAGTGCGTACATTGAACTGATCAGTACAATGGTGATTGACCTCGAATCCTCGACTCCCACTGGAAGTTGGGTCCGTATTCCAGGCTTCAAGAAAGTTGGTGAACAGCATGCCCTCACCGACGGTAGGTCTCGTTCCTATCACTCCTATCAAATGTGGCGGTATTTCGAGACAGTCTTCATAAAGTCCTTCCTGCAGAACGAGGTCGACATAAAGTCATATTTATTTAAAAACTGACGACGGTGTTTGGTCGGTAATTTCGATTCTGGGCATATTATTTTTAAGTGTCGGGCGACGAAAGATCAAATCTATGTCGACGCTGAACAAATTTTCTTTGATAGAATTTCGTACGTATAAATATAATCGAACAGGTAGACACATGACTGATTGATTTTTTTCATTGATTGATTAATTTATTGATCGATAAATCGTAACTAACGATGACTAATGTACGATCGTAATTACCAGCGCTGTGACTCCATCCGTAACCACCCACGCCCAGCCTGACTGAGTCATTCCTAGTTCCCCAGCCTGTCTCAGCACATATCTGGCGTGTATCGCTAAGCAGTTCAGTATCACCAGTCGTACCCCTTTACTGCGAATTGTGAGCAGCTGTTCCCTCGCGTCTACGCTGGAAGCATTTTGGGTTGGCAGAAATCGACCAACGTGCGAGATCACCCAGTTCTTTAATATTGCTATCCGTTGAAATTCTTGAAGTCCATTTATTCCTGTGAAACAAATTTCATAGGGTCATAGAACACGGCCAAACTCTTTATTTCTCTGGACGTTTGCCGTATGTTGGCGACCAAGTAGTTTTGTTCAGTGCGTATGGCCGAAAATGATTCTGTTGACAACTAGTATATCATATGAAATGGTTTTCTGAGTTTAAACTTAATAATAGATTCTAATCCAGCTGTGACGTAATACTGTATATTTGAATTCTGAGCGTTGGCGTAAGCACATTTAAAGAATTAATCGCATTAAATCTCAAAAATTCAAAAGATAGGTCGATATAAGAAATGGAACGAAATTATCGATTTCATGTGAGAATTATGATATTTGATATTCAGTTGTTTTCGGTTTGAGTGAGAATTAAATATATAAAAAAATAATCAGACTGAGTCACAGTGTTATGAGATGCCAATTTTTAAAACGTATATAGTATCACTTAATTTGGTAATCGTTGTTCAAAGTAAATACTGTAAAACAAGTCTTTTTAGCTAGCATGTTATTTTAGCTAATTTAGCTAATCTGTAATGTCGCTAATTCAAGATGTCGCTAATTTAAAATAAAGTACATTTTCACATTAACTAAATTAAGATTCAGTTAATTCATGCATGGATTCAATTAAAAATGTCATGTAGCTATTTAAGCAATGACCCTATTTCGGGTATATCAGGTCGAAACTGTTAAATAGTGCTTGGAACAATGATTACTAAATATTTTCTACATGTATCTATCTTATGTATCTATCTTAAAAACTTGCATCTATTTGCAAGCCTAACATAGTAGTGCAATTTGTATCCAGCAGTGCACGTGATCATGACTACGACACGTGATCAGAAAATGCTTAAGGAACTCACCATAGTCTGTCAACGAAGTCAGGATGGCCATTCTGGACCAACGGAAATGTGCAATAATATCGATCAGCGCGCGGCTCTGCCAACTGTCTGGAGCGCTCATCTTGAACAAATACCCATACGTATTAGGATTCTGGGATAAGGTGGGATCCGTTGCAAACGGCGCAAATTGTGGGATGTGCAGACCTTCGGCAATTGGGTATACAGCCTTAACGTCTGAAGACGTCGTGGGTCCAACTATCGCTACTACTCCACGGGATATTAAGTTACAAGCTGTAATGAAAAGAATTAGCAAATTTTGAATTATATGCAATTATCTTGCGACATGGTAATAAATGATTAGTTATTACGCTAACACCAACAAATCGAATTGATTATATTAGGAAATGAACATGGCGTGTTAGCAGAATTGGAGACATAGGTGTTCTGTTATATTAAGCAATTTCGATTTCATTATGAAAATTTATAATGAGATATAGTGCATGCATATATCACGTTATGGTAGTAGGTTTATTCTTTGTTTTGTATTGTTTCCTACTATTATTGTTACACATTATTGTCAGTTCCTGTATGTCATATGTTGAATTGGAATAGCCAAAGGGACGGCTCTGCATATATACGGTATGTTTTCTATATTAGTGCATTTAGTTATACGACAGCGTTTAATATGTATCATAATATATTTGGTTAGCTCACGACGTCATAACTATGTCTACGTTCCCCTAGAATGTAAATCGTGTTTCAAAAGTTCACAATGACTGATGTAATTCAAGTGCGATTCCGGTGTCATTGTATCAGTGTGTGTGGCAAAGTTCTTTTATTCGAATAATTTCGCCACGCTGTTACCGTTGAAAATAAGTCTCTAGTAACCGAGTCACCCGAAACTCAGTGTCGACATTAATGATTTATTTATTTTTTTAAATTGTGTATCACAAGTATGTCACATGTATGTATTAAATTTACCACACATCTCACTGTATATACATAAGTGACGTCACTGGGAATCATCAAGCAGACGGACGAACCGCATGTGGACTTTGGAATCCAAGAAGAGAACTATTGCCAATGGAAACATTTCATTTTCTTTAAATTGAAGTGTATTTATATTGGCCCGGTTAGTCAGTGCAAAAGAATTTGACACATGAATTGTTTATTGATTCAAATACAAGTTTGGTTATTAAGTTATTTATTCAGTTGTCATTGAATGTTGCTATCATTTTATCTAGGTAATCTTAGACGTATTCAATCACGGCCAAGTGTAGCACGGCCTGCTGCGACAATACTAACAGGCGATATTATTACAGCAAATTCACCGAACTCTGAGTGCAAGCAAGCATAGCGCCGCCAACGGATACTAACACTTTCTTATGTAGTGTTTCCGGTACAAATTAATGTTTCATTTCCGAGATTAGTAGCGTTCAAACACAGCTTCTTAGCATATGTTAAGACACAGTCCCTCATTCAGTGCTCATTCTCTGTATAAAGATCGCAGTTGTATATGTACATACGCACACGTTTTTTTAAAGCGGGAGGGTCGCCAACTGCGCACGTGCGGGAATTGAGTCCCAGGCGACGATAACAACACACGCTAAAAACGCAAAGGCTCATGGGCAGACGCTTGTTTGTAAACAATGACACGCTATGACCATCTGACGCATGCGCAGGTAACGACTCCCCCGTTTTAATTAATCAAGCGTATTTCAACATTTTTTGTTAAGTGTAACACAGTCACGTTTTCTCCCTAAAACAAGCACTAGAAACTTTTATTTTCACATTCAAAACTGAAAAATGCAAATTTCAGTGTTATATGACTAACTTGTCACAAATTAGAATTTCCCCCTGTTGCCCAAATGTATATATTGTGTCTTAGTTTGGCTTATTAAAAAATAATTCATTTTTTACTCACAACCGTGACATATTTCGTTTTTTAACAGATCAACCAAGTGAGTATTTTCGTAAGTTGTAATCATTGTTTTTATTTTCGTGATATGTAATTTAAATAAATAAAAAAACGTAAATTCGTAGACATGGCCAAGGTGTAAAATGTAATCAGCTATTTTATTCGTCCGTAATTTTTACAAAGATATTAATTATTGTACTAAGTGTATAAAGCATTTTCAAATTAAATGTCTTAATTTCCAATTTTTATTCTTAAACTCCAATCATCCAAAATATTATAAAAAAACTTAAAATGTAATTAGGAATTCGCTTTATCTGTAAAGTGTAAAAACCTATTTTTTACTGCAAATGGAACTTTCATTTTATTTCCTGTAAAATGCCGTAATTATTTCCTGTAGTCTGTACCAGCTTACTTCCCGGTTTCCTTGTCCCCCCCCCCCCATTGCCAATATTTTTGACTAGTTCTGTTGGAGGCTTAGTCCACACAGAGTAAGATACTGAATGTATAGGAAATTTCGTCTTGGACGGGGTCGCCAGAAGGAACTGGCCCGCACGGCAGTCGCAGC